GAAGGTTTTCCTTAGTATATACGAAGGCGCTTCTCCGTAATGACGAAGCTATACGAAGGTTTCTCTCAATATATACGAAGGTTGCTCTTCGTACTTAGGAAGCAATACTAAGCTTTTCGAGGCCATGCTACGATTCTTCTAAGTAAATGGGAAGGTTGCTCTTGGTAATTACGAAGCGAAAGTAAGAGTTCTCTTAGTTAATGGGCTACCTTACCAAAGGGTAACGTTCACATGAGCGACGCGATTCAAGGCTTTCAGGAAGCCTACAGGAAGAGGTTTCTCCTTATGGCGTAAGCGAAATGCTCCTGAGTAATCGCTATGAAGCTATTAGTATATCACGGTTTTCATTCATAACCTACCGGAAACGGTCGTAGTTTTGCCGTGCACTGCCAAGTGAACGTTTTCAAAAACGTGGACGCAAGATAAATGAAAGCAATACGTAAGCAGACTGCTGCGAAGAGTACACTGTCCACTTACCCATAGGGTATTTGCAGCCGGATTTCCCTTCTCCCCGTCCGACTAGGTAACGAACTTACCAGGGAGTAAATACCGATTTTGTGAGGCATTCAATCCCACACCATTGCCAACGCTGGCTGACATCTTAATGCAAGTGGGAACGAGCGTAGGTTATCAGCTACTGCGAAATATGAAACCGCGCAACGTAGTTGTCCCTGTCTTTTGATAAATGAAAGACCATGGCCTGCAGTGCCTTCCTTCCAGTCACGCAGTAGTCCGAAGCGGTAGTCACAATACGCGCCGAGACGGTGACATCGTATAACATATGCGGAAATCCCAGACAACAATTGAAGCACACCAGGAAATGGTTACAAATGTATATTACTGTGCATGGAAACATTTACATGTTTGTCCGTGTTTCCCGAATGCTTTGATTGTCCAAATCTATCAAATCCAAAGGCTGTAAATGAAACCGTTACGTACGGCATTAAAGGTACACAATACCTGCGATTCCTGACTGCTGGATGTGGCAGATGTACGCCGGTGCATGTTGCTCCGGGTAATCTGTAGCCATTTGCAAACGCCGTTCGCAACGGCGTTGCCCGTGACCCCAAATCGGTTAACGATAACTTCTGTGAAGGAAGATAATGTGGGAAAGGTTATCTGAGTTACCTTGAAGCGCACTGAATGTGTGCGTCTTCTTGAACGGTATGGCATTGTTTGCCCCGGCGAAGTTCAGCTGCCTCAAGACATCTCTGTTCATAACCCTGTCCAACATGTATCGAACAGCCTCCGATACCGTGCCGGCGGGTGTTGAGTTCATGCGAGTAGTCTAAGTCATGAATGCAAAATCCCCCAAGGTGACTTACCAGTTCTCGACGGAGGTCGGGGTCCACCAATTTCCCCTCCAAGTCCATGAATTCCTCAATGGTTGAGGTAGGTAGAGATAACTCAGTTGGTTGCATCGGTTTCGCAGTCCACATGGCCTGGCTCATGGCCGCGTGGCTCTCCTTCAATACGTGAAGGGTCTCCTCCACGCGTCTAAGTGAATCTGCTAATTCGTCGCAAGTAAGAAGCTCAAACATACCGACCACAGCGTACAAAGTGTGCATGACCCTTTTGTCTGCTTCATGACACCTGCCTGCCAGGGCGTGTATCTAAAGCGCAAAACCGGAAGACTTACAGCATTTGATACCCTCCGTTTGAACGGATACTTCATTACATCCACCTGTTGCGGAAAACGGAATTACGGAAAAGGGAACTTACGCATGTGGGAATCCTCCTGGACGTCATCAGCATTCTGAGTAGGCGTGCTATGCCGCGCCAACTCCTCCAACGAGAAATCAGGAAACCTCAAATAGCTTGCAGATGCGGGAGCGTTGCCGCGTTTTTTTCTTGTTGGTAGATTATCATCCCCATAATCACGTAGTTTCGCTGGCAGGCGTCTGCAATGCATTGCGTTATCACTTGTGTAGCGCATTACATAACTCGTTTCGGTGATGTTTGCATGGGGATGGTGCAATCCGTGTCCGTCCCATGACGTTGATCCGCGACCGTACTCTCCACTCGGCGTGCGTCCTCGAAATGCACTGCAAATGATTAAATGAATGTGCTTACCTGTACGATGAAGAACCGTCACTGGAAACATTTTACAATCAGCAATGGGGTATCTATGTTCGCGCACCGCCTGGTGGTAATCGAACAGGGGAAGGTTGGGCAAAAGACCATGCTGCCCGTCCTCCAAAAGTCATCTGCTGCCAATTGTGGTCATCTGGGACACACCGTCGTGCGTGTAAGTGACAACACAGAAATCCCACAGCGGCATATCTGTAGAAGCCATTACATACGTGATTACCGTGAGCATCCAACTCCTGGACGCTCCCGGAAAAAGAGGGAACACGAGCAACACAAACAACCACAGACTACAGATGGAACACTCGGAAGTAATCTATGGAAAGATCTTTCCATAGATTACTTCCGAGTGTTCCATCTGTAGTCTGTGGTTGTTTGTGTTGCCCGTGTTCCCGCTTTTTCCGGGGCGTCCAGGAGTTGGATGCTCACGGTAATCACGTATGTAATGGCTTCTACAGATATGCCGCTGTGGGATTTCTGTGTTGTCACTTACACGCACGACGGTGTGTCCCAGGTGACCACAATTAGCAGCAGATGGCTTTTGGAGGACGGGCAGCATGGTCTTTTGCCCAACCTTCCCCTGTTCGATTACCACCAGGCGGTGCGCGAGCATAGATACCCCATTGCTGATTGTAAAATGTTTCCAGTGACGGTTCTTCATCGTACAGGTAAGCACATTCATTTAATCATTTGCAGTGCATTTCGAGGACGCACGCCGAGTGGAGAGTACGGTCGCGGATCAACGTCATGGGACGGACACGGATTGCACCATCCCCATGCATATACTCGAGTATATTTTAATGCGTGTCCTCCGTAATGGTGCCAGAAACACAACATTAAGTCACTTCGTGGCCTTCCAATGTTCCTCAGGTCGTGAATGTCGCAAGTTCCCCTCCGATCCATCTTTCCGTGTTCGTAAGTGCAAGGGAAATTACTGAGGTGACATTGCATAACTGGGACATAACAAAAAGCGGCACTTACCGGAGGCTGTGGGCACAAAGGAACAGAGGTACTTGAGTACGTGTTGTCAACATGGTCCGCATTCCTTGGGTTTTCAAAATTTTTGAATTTTTTTTGTCTTTTTCAAAAGTTTTTGCGTTTTTTTGGGCGTCTCCGGATAAAGTGTTACCAGAAGGATAATGAAATGGTCACATTTACAATGCGGATAAAACGCATGTCTAATTGCCCCTGCAAAATGTAAGCTGCCACCAAACGTAGTGTAATCAGCGCCGCATGCAATAGCGTTCCATAGTCTTTAATGCGGGCGTTGCTTGACATTGACACACCATTAATAAAGACGCATAGCCGGCAAATGCGGTTAACACTATATCTAAGGGGATCCTGCAGCACGCATACCTTGTCATCATTGCATACAGCAACAAGAACGCAAAGCTACGGCACCCTGGGTTTTTGCGTTCTAAATGTATGCAGCAATGGGATGATGACTTCGTCTAAACCGACGGTGAAACATACACATTTGCATAGGATGTCATGAATAGGAAACCGCCGCAAGTCATCAGACACACCGTTAGCAACATAAATGTGTAGCCTGGACGATGGCATACTATGGACGTATAAATCTCTGAGATGTAGGAAAGATGCGCAGTTAACATATGCGGTTTCGCCCACGTCCGGGTGCAGGGATACGATTTGGTACGGTTTCTTTCCTACGATGATTACGTTGTCCGGTTTGCATGGGAAAAACACGGTCCCATTTAACCTGAAACCCATTTGCCTATTTATTTCGACGAGGGCTATAGTTTCACATAAGTTGGAGGGCTGATTACCCTTGCAAAAGTTTCCCTGGAACTCCATACACCGTCGCAATAGCTGAGGTACGATGTTCACTGGGCTTCGTATCCGCCTTTTCAGACACCTAATGTAAGATTCGAAAGGGAACGCGGAGAAATCATCCAGTGTCCCATGTGTATACGCATCTTGTGCCAAATGACACAGGGAATGCATGTTGAATGTCATTTCTTCAGCCCCATACAGTTTGAAGAAACGCGAAATAAACACCATAAGTACATTATGTGCAAAAGAGGAACATTTTCTGAATAGCAATGGATGACAAAGCAGATAAATACCTAAATGCAAATCCAAGAAATTGACGTAATAGTCCAGGGGCAAAATATCCGCAAGAACCGCTGGTCCGGCATACAACAAGAATTGCCGAAATTCAGACGCTTTCCACCATCTGAACTTATCTACGCTTCTACAACGGCGTGGAAAATCACGCGGCCAATGACACCGATTCATGTCAAGCACATCGTTAAGACGTGACACAGTGTCCATATCCAAGCGAAAATGCTTGCTAGCGGCTGCAGTTGTCCACAACGATATCAGGCGTCGCATAACACCCAAGCAAACAGCATGCATATAGTCTATAGGAAACTGCTCCACCATGTCTATGGGCAAGTATTCAAATGATGACCATTTGCTACGGCAGTGCGCACGGAAGGACTCATTGGTACGCAGGCGGCAATCGGTGCAAGGAAAGGTTACTTTCCCAGAGACATAAACACCTCGCTGCACACATTTGTCGCAGCTGCCGTACCCAGAATGTGCTTTACTACGCTTCACATATGATCTGGCTGGTGCATCACAAATGATATTAGAGATACGCACCGCGTTTGGTGTAGATCGACCGGGCAACATCACGCCTGTTCGAAGTAACGTTCTCAATTCAGTTACAAGTGGAGCCAAGAAGTGATGTACATTCCACGGTTTTCGTGGACCCGAGTACACCCCAACCAAAAAGGATCCAATATCAAGGGCGCCACCGATCTACACAAAATGGGACAAACTTGCACACCGGATGAATTAAATGGTGAGAACCCATCCACATGCAACTGCAGGTGAATGATGTGGGAGGTGGGCACACTTTCCCACCGGTAAGCCATCTTCAGACCGTAAATTATCCCCAAGTGACCATACGTACCAGGATGTACCTCCATCTCGTTAGTGGTTCTTTGAGTTTTCATCAACGTCCGGTAATCCTTCGGTAGAGACGGTATAAACTTACGCAACCCTTCCAGAAGCTGGCTAACAGCCCAAGCCGAGGTGTTGGTATTAAGCACCTATGATGCCAGGAAACTACGTGCCTCATCACACGGCTTCGGTGACGTAGTCACATCTAGTGCAGTGCAATCATGCTCCCCTATTTCGCAGCTTATGGTTTCCACCTCATCACTCTCGGTTTCTGTCCTTGATGACTGAACGGAAAGTACATCGGTGGAACCGCGTACACAGCCGTTGTGGTCGGCAGCTGAAAGGTTACGCCGTGGCGCGATGCAGCAGTCTACAAGCACACTAAAAGGTTGTCTGTGAACCTTACCTCCCATAATTGCATCCACGTTACCAGTAGGGCTATCATCGCGCGCACGGAATGCCTCACGCTCAGCGAGTCTACGCAAAAGCAGCAATCGCATTCTCAATGTGCGTGCAGAAGGTAACGCAAACGAACAACGACGTCTTGTTAAACGACTGCGCATCTCTAGAACATGAAAT